TTTAAATGCCCTTATGGCACCTAGTTCCTGCCTGTTCTTCATCAAAGGAAAGTTAAGTCACATTCCAGCTGGGCCAGCCAGGTCTTGCTTGTGAACACTAGCTTCATTAAATAAGAGCAAAAGGAACACACTACTTTAACGTTTCACAAATCTCATTCCAGAATTACTCAACAATCATAAACAAACTTTCAGAAAGGGTAAACTTCATATTTCAAACAGAAACATGCAGTCAAGTATTCCTACAGCCACAGTTTAAGAACTAACATTTACAAGAGTACCTTTCGCATGAACACAAGATATTAAATTATTAAATATTGTGTTTTTGAGAAAGGTCATGAACCACTTCCATAATAAGTGATAATGGAACAGTTCACTATTTCAAAAACCTGTCAATACACTTACAAATAATTGCATATCATCCATATGGCATTTAGAAATATCATTTAGGGTCACAGTAGTTCATTCAGATCTATTTATTTCTCTCTATAATAATTGTTCCATTTGCTATGAAAATCTACATAGTTTTTCTAGTACAACCAAAGTCATGCCGTCATCTGCAGCCTTGCATACACACAATATGAAAATCTATGCCACAGTTAAAGTATTATTAACTCCTCCGTTGCAATCAAGCACAGACCGACACTGTCATCAGCGGCTCATCAGTCTGTACCAACATGAGCATCATTACCTGCAAATGTTTGCAACTGAAGCAGAAAATGAAATCTCAGCATTATTACCTACCTAGGGAGAGATTAGTCGAAAATGCTTACACCAAGGAAACTACCTCGTTTACACATCAACCTAACTTTAGTTGTTGATAAAGATGGCAGGTGTATGAAACTACCCTCCTGTGCAATATTCACAACCAGTGCATCCTTGCATTCTTCCTAGGTTGCGATGACCCACTTTTCATTATGAACTCACCAACAAAAGAAACACGAATACAATACATAGTGGTTAATATATGAAGAATAACTCATATTCAAGAGATTGGTTTGATGCACAAACGAACATACTGGTATGCTTTGTGAATCGACGCTCATGAACACATCATATGTGATGTCATAGACCCATGACTCCAGATCCACAATTTTGTCTCATGCAGGATTCGTGTGTCAAGTTTGGAAATCACGTGCAGCATATCGTGATTAGAATAAAGTTTGTTTGTTTTATGTTTAACGCCGCACTCAGCAATATTCCAGCTATATGACGGTGGTCTGTAAATAATCGAGTCTGGATCAGACAATCCAGTGATTGATATCATGAGCATCGATCCACGCAATTGGGATACGATGACATGCATCAACCAAGTCAGCAAGCCTGACCACCCGATCCCGTTAGTCATCACTTACAACAAGTGTAGTCGCCTTTTATGGCAAGCATGGGTTGCTGAAGACCTAATCTAACCCAGATCTTCACGGGTCGATAAGAATAAAGACTCAGTGGTAAGACTTGACTGATTGTTAGTTTTGTCATTAAGTGGTACACATTGGAAACATCTCTTCTTAATGTACATACTTCTCTGTATTTTCCTATAGTTCGTGTTTATTTTGAAAGTATACTTTTCATTCAACTGACTGTCAATCAGTTTGTTGGAATCAACAATATGTGATGCTTTCATTTAGTGAATGAATTTCATGACATTACAAGATTTACCACCTCTAGGTGACATGTAAACAGAGGGTAGGTGTGATGTTTGCAAGATATGCTGGAACATGTTCGGTGCAGAGCTGGCTCAAAACACTTTTCAATTCCTCATTTCCAAATAACTGGACATACTGGTAAGGCTACCAGTAGTTATTAAAAAACATTTAATCATGTCAGAACTATCAGCATAAATATGACATATTTCCAGAAATCAGCAGATCTTCGGCAGATGAAGCTAACAATTTTCATGTGGTCTAAAAATCTCAGTGTCCTATTTCCAACTGGCTATCTCATTATTTTAGACAAATGACCAAAAGATGTTTATGATCACAACACCAACTAATGCTTAGTCAACATTCACGTGCGATCAGAGGGGAGCTGCATTCTCTTCTGCCACCATAATGATGCATTTCAGCATCAGAGGAACAGTCAGAGAAACACTGTGAATACCGCCTTCATCTGCATGATTAAAGAGTCCACGACTCCAGAAGATGACTTTGTTGTGAAATGTTCCAAATGATTGTGTATGGTAGACAGTGATTGCTTGCTAGTCTCTACTGAGCTGACAGATAGCCTGTTGCTGTAGCAGAATAATATTGTGCAAATACAAGTTGCTTGTGTATAAATAATATTTATGCATGGCAGTAAATAATGGATTGGAGACACCATCATATAATTCAGCCACAGACCCTAGGCATATTAACCCTCGAGAAGCTAAATAACATGTACAACTGTTTGTTTGTTTGTTGTTTTAATACCACACTCAGCATTATTATAGCTATTGGCCGGCAGTCTGTATATAATTGAGCCTGGGCCAGACAATCCAGTGATTGACATAATGAGCATTGGTCCACGCAATTGGGATACGAGTGAGTGAGTGAGTATGGTTTTACGCCGCAATATTCCAGCAATATCACGGCGGAATTGTGATACGATGACATGCATCAACCAAGTCGGGGAACCAGACAACCCAATCCCATTAATCGCCTATTACGACAAGCATGGGTTGCTGAAGACCAATTCTAACCCGGATTTTTACAGGGCTTTACAACTGTTATTTTATGCAGTATTTAATGTACACACTGTATTGCTGAAGAAATAATACCAAAACATTATATGTTATTTAGGTATACACAATTAAAGCACTTTGGTGTCAGGAACCCAATACTACCTGGGTACAATGTCAGATACATATACTGATATAGGGACATATTGCTTAGAAATAATGGAGTTCTTTTGTGTTTAATGGATCATGTTAATAAAGCGACAAAACCCTTTCCATATCCAATAGAAATATCTGCATAAAGCAGAGTCAATTGTTTGTTCCGACTATATCATGAGCATGTGTTTATGAATCACTATCAAACAGTAATGATACCTGGTGTTCGCGAAACCAAAGCTCAGGCAACCTGCAATACCCGACAAATGAAGTATTCATCCAATAGACCCTATCACCTTAAAATGCCAGATCGCTGTTTCAAGGTATCATTAGGACATGTAAAAAGAACAGATGACTCATTGGCTTACTAAACACTAACTGTTTGACACCAGTTAGTAAGTTGGGTTTTACACTTTTAACAACATCCCAGCAACATCATGATGGAGGACACCACAAATGGACTCCATACAATGTACCCATGTGGGGAACTCGGACCTTCGATTGCTGATCGAACACTTTAACCACTAGGCCACCCCACACCCTGTTTGACACTGAGTGGAGTGATTCCAACTTAAATTTATTGATATTTTCTTTAATGAATGAAAATATCAGACATCCTTTTCCATAAAACATGGCAGCTGATCACCCCTGAATGGAATACAAAATATCCATATCACAAAAAAGGTTATCCAGGTGTGCTCAGACAAACATGTTATAATATTTAAGACATAAGTAGATCATATCTGCACTCCAACGTACTCTGATAGCTAATCAGGTTATATGCTGCTATCTCAGTTACAACCCTAAGACCATCCCGCTATTCTTCATGTACATATTTCATTAGTGTGCTATCATATTTATACCCCATGTGATTATTCATTATATCACATGAGTATGAATGACTCCTACCTTGACCTTGGTGTTACTCAGTGTAAGCAAACATATCACTGTAGAGTAGTACATGACTCAACATATGATAAAGTCTCCCACGCACTACCTGTCTGAGGTGAGGTGTGGTGAAATCGGGTTTAACGTCGCGTCCAAGATTATTGCACTTATATAGCGACGTGCATGTACGTGTGTGTGTTTGTGTGGCTGCTTGTACTAGTCCGGACTGATGCCGATTTATAGTGCTAGCTCACTGAGATACCATGCCGCAGTTTAACATGAATACCCCACTCAGACACAGTATACTGACTCCGAGCCGACCAGTCCTTGTTTTAGCCCCTTAATGCCGAGCGCCAGACAGGGTAACAACAAGTACCATCTTTTAACGTCTTTTGGTATGACGCGGTCGGGGATCGAACCCCGGACCTTCCGCTCTCCGGGCGGACGCTCTACCACAAGACCACCGAGGCGGTCACTACCTGTCTGAATCAATATAACAGGACGTATTACAATTAGAATCATAATTGTTACTGTGTTCATAATCAACACTGTTCAATGTCACAACTTATAACCCTTTTGAAGATTTTTTATCATGATATATATTTATGCAAATATGCTATTTCAAAACCATAACTTTACTTCGCATTATAATATTACCCATTATTTCACTTAATTATTTCAGAACATTGACAATGATCGCCAGTTCACAATAAAACAACCAATCATGACAAAGAGTTTCCATATATTTTCTTAAAATAGAAGTTCTTAAGGTCAGTTGGTATTTATATCTGTCTTGGCATTTCAGAAGAAGCAAGAAAATACCTGGAAGTGAGTTAACCGACAAGCAGTCTATGGCTCCTGTCCATTACCAGATCTGAGCTCAAGACTATGTGATGATGTCTTTGCTTGAGAATGGCAGTTATGAGATTCGTAGCACAAAGATTGCTTTGTGGAACATGCCCTTGCTTTTCTGTACAGTCTATTCCTGAATGGACAAACTTGGGCTGATTAATATTTACAAAGTTAACACAAGAGTGAGTGAGTGAGTGAGTGAGTGAGTGGGTGGGTGGGTGGGTGGGTGGGTGAGTGAGTGAGTGAGTGAGTGAGTGAGTGAGTGAGTGAGTGAGTGAGTGAGTGAGTGAGTGAGTGAGTGAGTGAGTGAGTGAGTGTGAGTGAGTGAGTGAGTGAGCATGGCATTAGGGAAGATTATGATACTGTTCCCTCGTGCAAACTTGACAATGGTGACCCTTCAAAGAAAAAACACTAGGCAGCAAGTACAGAAATGACACTGTTCTCTGGTACATACCTTGCAATGAGGTCATCGGGAGGTAAAAAGTCCTGAAAGAACTCGAACTGGTAGAGATGAAGGAGAAGGATGTGGAGTCCAGTGTACACAAGGAGGAAGACACGGAATCCCGCAAACTTGCGTCCCAGCTTGCGGTAACACGCCCACACCGTGCCCACAACCAGGAAGGTCAAGAAGTAGACTGCATTCAACACAGACGGCAGGATAATCCCGCTAGCACCGATTAACAAACTCAGCAAGAACTCTCCGAAGAAGGCGATGACGAAGTTCACTCTGGGTCTGCGAGTCCTAATCACTTGAGTTGTGGGAAGGTCCTGTTGCTGTGCTGCCTCTTTCTTGAGAACAACATGGCAGATGATGAAGACTAGGAGTGCTACGATGAACACCGCAACGTCTGGTACCACCAGCCGAACAACATCAACAACAGGCGTGTTATCCAATCTGGAAAACCATGAAAACATAGCTTTTCAAAAAGTAGTCACATAAGTATAGCAGGGGTCAGATTAAAAAAGAATTCATACAGGGATTTCATCTAACATCCTTCCCTCCCCTCTACATCATAGTCACACAACACCATCAACTCAAGTTCCCACCCAAAGGAGGATATTGTACAAGGTTCATCCTTTCCCAAGTGACACTTCTTGGATTTAATAAAACAGAAAATTTGGGTGAGATAACTTTGAATTTGACAGTTAATTTGAATAATGAAAATTGTATTGTCTATCTTGTCAATATCACGCCACTATTGCCAGCCAGCAAGACTGAACCAGGAAATATATGTGCAGTCTTGTCAACTAATTGTAGGTATAATTCCCCCACTGTAGTCCTACAGTAGCTGCTGTATCCTACCAATGTAAACTTAACTGGATATAGTACATCATGCTGACAACACATTCCTATCAGATTAAAGAGCTTCAAGGACACAATCATGGCCGTCTTGGAAGTTCCTACTCATGGAATACCAAGTCCCAAGTTGGTTTGGTTGGTTTGTTGTTTAACGCCGCACTCAGCAATATTCCAGCTATATGACGGTGGTCTGTAAATAATCGAGTCTTGACCAGACAATCCAGTGATTAATATCATGAGCATCGATCCACGCAATTGGGATCAATGACATGAATCAACCAAGTCAGTGAGCCTGACCACCCGATCCCGTTAGTCGGCTTTTACGACAAGCATAGTCACCTTTTACGGCAAGCATGGGTTGCTGAAGACCTATTCTACCCCGGAATCTTCACGGGTGCCAAGTCCCAAGTCCCAAGTAACTGCACTAGGCGTTACAGGACATCATCAGTAGAGTGTTACTTACTACTGCTAGAAATGTCATAGCATTGAAGAACCTTAAAAGCTGTGATGCTCTTTGCATGCTTGGTGTCTATTGATTTCATCAGAGCTTAAGCTACTGTTTTAGTATTTTATTAAGGATTATTCACCATGTTAACATCACAAACCTTTCAACTGCTATGAGTCGGGCAAGCTTCTCATTCATAGAGCCTGGGGAGAGAGCAAACAAAAGGACTTTTAACATCAAGAACTTGATTGCCTTGACACATTAAGATTTACAAATTTCTTGACATAGGAATATGGTAGCCTCTGTATCATGTATATATATATAGACACTGACATGAAAATATCCCCCGAATCGCAAGTACTAAAGTATATAAAAGTTTTAGATGAAAACTATAAACATCTGGATTTCTTCAAATTAATGACGCAATTTTCTGGACTATCATATTCCATAAAACATTTCAACAAAAGCACTTCTAAATCATCTCAATTTGGGCAATCTCATTAATATCAGATCTTAGTTCTCGCTACCGCTAAAAAAAGATCTGAGGGAAATCCCATTACGGGTCATATCAAAACAACCTTTCATGAACTTTGACCAACCAATGGAATGACTGACAAGAAGTCGACATTAGCCAATAAGAAAGTAGCTTTCTCATGCTTTAAGGAACAAGTTTCAAACTGCAGACTATACTCCATAACATATTTTGATAAATTCTTGTTTAAAATCTTTGAAAACTGAACAAAAGAGCGTTTTGGAATGGCTAATAGATCGCCTAGATTGTATGGATTCAGTATAAAGCCTGCAACTGTCGTTCTGAATACCCTGTGTTAAATTTTTCAAGGTTGCATGATTAGAAAACACATTCGACTGTCACTTTCATGATCTGAATGGCGACACACTTATTGGTTGGATGAAAGGTCATTCTGACGTGACCCATAATGGGATGTCCTCAGATCTTTATTTAGTGGTAGCAAGAACTAAAATCTGATTTTAGTGAGTTTTCAATTTGGGAAACTAAGAATCAAGGGTACAAAGCTCTTTTGAATGTATATTAACATCCCTGACAGCAACTGTCCTGAATGCAAGGTGTCCAGACTAACAGGGTTTCACTATAAAACATCAATGAAACAATTTAAAATGAATGTGTAACTTTTGAAAAGAATTCCAAATCATTATAACAAACATGGAAGACATTTGTAACACCATGCTTTACAGTATGAATAATTAATAATGGATCAATTCCTTTGCTGCCACACTATGAAAGAACAAATTAAATAAATCAATTTTAACCTGTCAATGAGTCATTTTGCACACACAGATCCCAGTGAATCATGACAGCAAATTACTGCCTATGTTTATGGAGGTGAAGGGCACATATGGTGATGACTAAAAAATAAATTTCACGCTTCTGATTACAAGGTTATTGTAACAGGTATGACTTCGGTAGAAGTTCATAGTTTAATATATGAGTTAGGAATAATTGTTAGATAGTATTATCTAAGGGGAGATCACTCCCATCTTACTTCCTGTATTGACCATGTGCTCACAGGACCTGGTAAAACTGGAGTCACACACACACATATACAGTTCTCTTTTGAATGTTACAGTCATCAAAATAAAGGCCACAAAGAAGAAATCATTTTGACAACCATTTTGAGGGGGAAAAAAGACCAGTTTAACCTGAGACAGCTGTAGAAATTGGCACTAGTCCTATAGTCCTTGTCAAAATGCCCAATAGTTTAGGTATCATAAGGACTAGTAGAAATTTACCATTTTTCAGGGGTTTGCTATATGTTATCATTATAAGGACTAGTTGGCTAAAACTGTTAGTTTCTACCGCTGTGAGGGCGAAATTAATCAGATCAAACCATAATGATTTCATTATAAAGGCTGCTTGTTTCATTGAATCTTTCAGTTAAACATACAAGCAGATCTTTTACCATAGTCGCTGAACATAGGTGTGTCTATTTTGCATGTTATGTTGTTTTTAGGCTTTTTCAAATATAAGTAGATGCAGCTATAAAATGAGGCGAAATTTATCTTTCCAGATAAACTACTGAAACATAAAGATAGGGGTGAGTGATGTATAGCCATTATCAACTGATTATGGTCAATAAATGGAATCAGGTGGTACATATCTTGTCAGTTTCTGCGCCCTAAGGCCACAATAAATGGAATTAGGTGGTTCATATCTTGTCAGTTTCTGTGCCCTAAGGCCACAATAAATTAATTGTTAGAATTTCCTCGAAGGTTATCAAAAATATGATATGAAAGGGATAAAGTTAATAATAATAAATTTATTATGGCCTTAGTGACTTTTTTTATATCTTTTTGTTTTTGCTGGTTTCAGAAAGGAAATTTAAATACATACTACTCAAAACAAGTTAAAAACCGCCACAATTGGAAGGCTGTGTATTGCAATACCCTCCAGCTATGACAGATTAACATTAGTCAAATGAAAAAAGTGGTGTTCTTCAAATTCTTTCTGTCGTTTATTTGACAAGAACATAAAACTGGGTGATTTGCCATCATAATGATAGGTCTAGCAGGATAATCAGTGCCTCAAGAGCATCTAACCACAGTATGTGGTCAAACCGACATAAAACCTGATTCCATCCACCATCGCCCATGAAATGAATATGATTATCTGTCATTTACAAATAAACTTACAGTTTGGAAACATGGAACCATACGGCTCGGCATCTGTTGCTATGGCGACCAACACAATATGGAAGATACATTGTGTAAGAACGGCAATCACTCCAAGAGCGATGAGAACTTTCAGGTAATTTCCTGTAGCACCTGAAACAGATGAAAGGAACACATCCATTAAACATTCATCAAACTGTTAAATAGGATATGCAATAAATGAGGGTCATTTAGAAATAAATTGCATTCAATTTTAATAATTTGAGGATGTGATAGTTTCAGTCATGCAATTACGTATGATAAATGTGTTTTCAGTTTCAAAAGTAATATCATACCACATCATAAATACAGGGCAAAGTGTCAACACACACAATAGAAGAGGAAAGACATTCATGTTTTAACATACATAACAGTGTCACAAATTGTTGAAGACTAATTCAATTGGTTTATTTATTTCTTCTCTACAAAAAATATCTCTTTTAACATGTCTTTAAAATGATTTTCTCATCGGAGAGGTTAACACAAGTTAAGATTCTCTCATTAAATAAATATTCAGAATATGATTCACTGAAGTCTGTTTGTTATTTGTCAAAGGGCTAATTGATAAGTTGAAGTTTTCTCATCTCAGGAGTGATTGATCATTAAATGGGGGGGCAACTGTCTTATGTCCTCTTCTTTTCAGCAGAGTTGTTTCCCCTAATCATGCCAGGATTTGCTGACCTTGGGTTTCATTAACAGATTTGCCACAAATATGACCCTTTGCACCATGTCTGTGACAGTGGGTTTCACCAAAGTGGTACATGTCTACAACCTCAATCACTCACTTATTTAAAATAGTGCATAATCAAGCTTTAGAACATCAGGTCAAAATATCTACTTTTCATTATCCCTGAGAATTATTTTCCTGACAAACCTGACATCATTACAAGTCTTTTATTATGTTAATTTTGTTTCTTTGAATTCATCAAAAGGCAGAAAAATAAAGGTGAAATAAATTCCTTAATGGCAAGAATTTCTAAATGTGAAAAAAAGAGATACATGTAACTTCAAATTTATTCAAATGCTTACTAAAGAAACACACCTGGCATGCTTGGATGTGAAAATAGCTTAGCCTCAAATGAGTTGAATCTTTCACAGGTCTCTATTTACATTTTACTTCATTTAAAAAATATTGATTCGGAGCAATCAGACACACATCTGATGCAAATTGTTCCTCGATGATACCCAACCAGAAAAATAGAATCAAATCAATGAAATTACACGGAGATTGAGCAAACCGGCTGTCTGTGGGAGTCAATCACTCACCCCAAGGTTCAGTCTATGACATTGTATAATGGCATCACGAGCAGACGGCATGTCAGGGTATCAGACACCATGAATGGTAATGGCCTACTCCTTCAGCTTCAACAACCGTCTCCATGATCATGTTATATCATTTTTTGGTTGATTCAAATATCTTTCATCCTGTTTTGAATCAAAGGATTCAGCAACAGTAGCTAGCACATGCATAAATTTACACAGCTATTTCTTGATTTTAATATCAATCATTAAATTTCCAAATACCATTAGGCTATTATAACAGATAATCAGTTAAAACAAATTTACTCCAATAATAATTAAGTGAGAATTTGGGAAGTACTAAGTTGGATGCCATTTCCTAATGAAACATTAAAATCCACATCCTTAACAGATCTTGATGAAATATTCCAAATTCCACATAAACAAAAATAACTTGCATATATGATAAAAATATGTTAAAAATAAGAACAATCCTGGTATACAACGCAAGGGTCCAATAAGAAACATTCACGCTATTATACAGTTGGGTTGTATTATCGTTGTCACATCAGCACAATAGCAGGCACTGCATCTACAGAAACCTGAATCACTCACACATTCTTGGCTTAGTTTTAACCAGATATCTTAAGGGCAATCTGGCAATTCTGGGGTTGCCAAACTGAATGAATCTGTCCACAGCTATGACGATATGGTGATTAACTTATTATCTTCAGCTGTTGAAGAATTCCATCTTACAAATCACTTAACTTTTACAGTTCCCGTAAGTGGAATGTTTTGCACTATCATGTCAAGAATGTGGAAAAGTGCAGTTATGTCAAGGGCAAAGAACAGAGTGAAGAAGGCCGGTAGTCATCCAGTAGTGATGTACCATTAAATAACTTACAAGGGGGAAATAGTCCTTAGTCATCTCTTCAAGTATCTTCAGTATGTTATTGATAACTGATGATCCACTTAGTGTTATACCCATCTGCATCAATCTTAACATTTGATATTGTTAAGTTGGAAAAATAGCTCTGAAGGGCAAATGTTGTATTTTCCTAACAACCAACTTGAAATAAATATTCTTTTATCTTCCACAGAAAAATACTTCACAGTGAAAAAATAAGAACTTGTGTCAATACTGCATACAATATATCTTGTTTGTTTACGGTCACAGAGACATTTTTGTAAGCTCCATAACACATGGGTTCACATGAATAAAAGATTATTCTCAAAACACATTTAAGCAAAAACATATTTTCTCAAAAACCTTAATACAGTTCCTAAAATTCTTTGAAATAGGAGGCTTAGCATCAATAACATTTTAACTCCATGCATCTTTTTGAAACCATTATTACCATCAATGCAAATATTTCATCCCAACAATGTACAGCCAGTCTTGAGCAGAGTACTCTAGAGCAGTACCTCAAAGTTAACACTGATGATTATCTAAGTAGATCTGTTATGTTAATTAGTGCCCTAATTAAGCAGCTACTTAAGTTGATTACAAGAAGCATGGTGAAGGTTATCACTCAAGTTCATTACCATTACATCATGGGGGAGATTGAAGGCCCTTGAAGATGAAGGCACAGGCCAGTGCATGCAGTATTGCTGTCTGTGAATGTGCACAGACAGGAGTGAGCACCCCAGCACAACATGCAACAGACAATACTTGGCAATAATTCTTTTGGCTCGGTTGGTACTTAAATTTGAATTATACACTGGGTGTCCTGAAGTCAAATGTGTTGTTTCTGTCACGGGCGCAGCCGTAGGTTCTGGACAGGGATAATTGTAGGATGGGGCCTTGTGCTTTTAGCCCCTAAATTTGAAAAAAAGGCCCACACTGGGACTGTATGGGAAAGTATGGGCAAGTGTGGGTGTAACTCTGGAATATTTGAAATTTTCACACGGAGGGCCCATGTCAGAAAATTCCTAGTGTGAACCCTGCTTGAAGCAGTGATCAGTCTCTAGGATATATCCCACTGTGCAAAAGAATAACATGAATACCTGGAGACCAATGTCCACTACTCATGTGTAGATGTAGCACCATGCAAACAGAACTCTCTGGTGATGCAGGTGCAACTGAGCTCTACTGGCTTTTATTTCACAAGAACACATTTTCTAAACATCATCTAAATATCATCACTCTGCACAAAATTATTTAAAGATTGTCTTATTCCTAGGCATTCCACTTATTTAAATGCCTACAATTGATGTTGCTATACCCCTCATAAGGATTTATTATGGCAGATTTACAAAACAGACCTCACCTTCCCACAAAAGTCCCCCGAATGAAATGCCCCCATAGTTTATTTGCCCTGTACAGATGGTTCCTGGGTACTCCAGCAACTTGTCCTCTCCAGCAGACATCTAAAGGGCCCCCTCCCCTCTCCACAGCTGCTTTCTCCATCCCTTACACAGCCCTGGCATCTACCCAACATGGGCTTTTTAACCAGCGGACCTTCACTTTTTATCCCTGATGCTCCAACATCAATTAAGCTTCCTAAGCAGCTATGCATGGCAAATCTCAGCAGAATCCCTCGACTCCCTAGGGGGCTGTTAACCACTGACATGGAATCGGCATGATGTTCACAAGGAATGTCTCTATACCACAGCAGAAGTCAAGGCCTGTTTAATATATTGAAGGGGTTGATTCCAGTTAAATGCATAGAATATCCTGGTCACAGTTTTACACAAGTATTTGTCACAAAGTGACGAAATGTCCCCCGCCTGTATATACACCATAGTACCAAATATGAAGACAATCCAGCGATTAGTTCTTGAGATATTGTGGTAACACCGTTTTCCAACTCCAAAAACAGATTTGCCTGCTGTGACCTTGAAAATGGGGTCAAGGTCACCAAAACCGACTGGTGTATGCGGTGTCTGTATATACACCATAGTTCCAAATATGAAGACAATCCAGCGATTAGTTCTTGAGATATCGCGGCAACACCGTTTTCTAACTCCAAAAGCAGATTTGCCTGCTGTGACCTTGAAAATAGGGTCAAGGTCACCAAAACCGACTGGTGTCTGCGGTGTCTGTATATACACCATAGTTCCAAATATGAAGACAATCCAGTGTTTAGTTCTTGAGATATCGCGGCAACACCGTTTTCGAAATCCAAAAACAGATTTGCCTGCTGTGACCTTGAAAATGGGGTCAAGGTCACCAAAACCGACTGGTGTCTGCGGAATTTGTATATACACCATAGTTCCAAATATGAAGACAATCCAGTGTTTAGTTCTTGAGATATCGCGGCAATAAACAGGTGGGACGTACGGACGGACGTACGGACGGTCGTGAATACTATATCCCCCGCTTCGCGCTTTCGCGCGGCGGGGGACAATGACACATAAATGTATGCACAAATTTGGATCTAGTACACAGAAGATGTACAGAATGGATGCAGAAAAACTATTTATTACTTACGAGGACAAATATATCGGGGTTCATAAAAATCGTATGTGCCAATAGATGAAGATTGTTGATGTCATTCAACAAATTGTGGTTCAGCTGCTGTTGCGGCCTGCTGTCCTTACATCTTCTTCAGTAATAAATAGAACACTCATTTAATATCCTCTATATATAGCATCCTGAGGGAAGCACAGTAATACTCAATGTACCTATTTTATACAAGAAATATAATCGTCTTATAATCCAAGTACCTAGATGCCTTTGTTGTACAAAAATAAACTATCAAATAGGAAACACCTCACAGTTTTCATAAATTTGGATGTAATTTAAAAAACTTAGTTTACAGTGGCCTTATCACAAAATAGCATTATGACATAAAATTATGGGAGGCCTCAATGACCAATGGATCTGTTTAACACAGACTACATACAAACTCTGATGAACTAGTGAAGTAAGG